GTTTAAGCTATAGTATATGTGAATAATCTTTTGCCAAGATATTGGTAATTCTAAATCTACTTCGGACTTCTCTGAGCATGAAATTTCTAATTACTATAAAATTTTAAAGGTTTGGTAAGCTCATATTTAAAAAAAAAAAAAGATATATAAAGCGAATACTATATATATAAAATAAAACAGTAAGCCATCTTTGAGGTTGTGATTTTTTTCAGCTTTATTTCTTACCTTACTTTAAATTCAGAAATAAGAAAGTGCATGTGTGTCCAACTGTCTTGCTTAGTCTCGTGAATGTTGTTTCCTTTTAGAAAACCTCTGAAAATGCTGCTTAAAAAAGGTCTACCATTGCAATTTACTATGAAAAATAGGCCTGTCTTATGCATGTCGATCACTCAAATTTCATAGTAAAAAATGATTTGTATGACAAATCGTGTGCATGTTATTGTTATAGCACAACATAATTCTAACCCAACACAAGTTTTGTGCTCATTATGTCAACATAAAACTTTAAAAATGACAAAGGTTTACACTTACATTGGCAAAAAGTTCATCAAACTAAAAATCATTCTCAAATATCATCCTCAGTTCATTCTCGTATTTTTTGTAAACTATGTCCTAAAAAAAGTTACAAAAGCCAAGCAGGCTTAAGTCGTCATGAAACAATAGTTCATTCACATTATAATATACCTCAAACTAGACTTATACCTCAACTACCTGAAGCAATTATTGAATTCAAAAACATATTAGTTCATATGATACAAACTAAATTAAAACCAGCACACAACAAGTAGGATGACAAGTAATTATGATACCATGTCTTGAAAGTCAATTTGTTGATGTGTTTAATAAATATATCAATCGATATTCACCAAGTCGTGGCTGGTACCAATGTATCTTTACAGGAATTGGAGCTTATGAATGTTTAGAACAAATTCTTAATGATGAAAAGTGGGTTCGAGAATATGAAAACAAACAACAAATATGGGTAATTTTAAATGTAGAAAATGAAAAATCAAAATTAGAAATTAGATGGGAACGAAAAGAAATTATAGATACAGCTAATCATATTTCGGGTGCTGGATTTCTTTCTATCCAATTTAATATTGCACAATTCTATTTTAAATAGAATTTTTTTTAAAATAAAATAAGCATAGCATTTTTATTGTTTATTA